TAACAAAATATTTGCAAATTTGAAAAGATTAGATAGGAACCTTAGGGGGGGCAGTGAGTTTATGTTAACGAGGGAAGAACAACTCAGAAAAGGAGGGTGAGAATGCACAACTCGAAGAGTGTAAGCAGTGTCACTGAGTTGTACATGTAGAAACTTGAATTGGTATATGCTTTTGCTATACATAGTCTCCGTAACAACAGAAAAATTAAAATAAATTATTTTTGTAAATTGTCAATTCAACATTTTTTATAGGTACAATTCAGAGACCTTGATTACCTTTATCAGGTTGTGAAACTATCACCAACTATTCATTTCCAGCTTATTCCACCATTAACAGAAACTGAATGCCCCCTAAGGAATGACTCCCTCCCCCCCACACCTGGTAACCACTAATAAACTTTGGTCTCTGTACATTTGCCTATTTCATATAAGTGGGATTATACTGTTTGTGACTGACTTATTTCACTCGCCATAATGTTTTCAAGGCTCATCCATGCTGTATAAGCTGTGTTCTTTAGACGTATTCCCGTGATTCTCTGAGCACTTTCTTACTTTGTGGCACAGCAAAACATCTTGTTTTTCCAGACTCAACTTGTAGTTTTTTTGCCCTAGACCTGGAGTCACCGTTTCTCCAAGGAGCTGGTGGGCATGTTTTTTTGTAGGGTGCACATAACAGTTTGTGTTGCCACATTTACCCATAGCACTGGATGCCTTTACAGTGGAGTCTGTCCTTCGCAGTCAGAAAATGTCCAAGGAGCTGTCAAAGGCCTTTATATTATTGCATTTGATGAAAATATGTGTGATCACTGACTCCCTTTTCTCCTATTAAATGGTATTATAACTTGACAAATGAGATCTTTTCTACATTTGGTCATTTGCGTAGCTATTTTGAGTTTATTCTAGGTGTATGGTACTGTGCCATTTTCTTTAGTCATTTTGAGGAACAACCCAATAAACTGGAAAAATGATTTCCCAAAAATATGGCATTATGTATGATCTATTTCTCTAACTCTGATTCTGTGTTATTGGAGTGTTGTCATTCAAAAATGAATATCATCTTTCATGGGGCAGTTAAGATGCCACCTTTTCTAGAAAGCTTTTTTGATCCCTAAACACCTATAATAACTGAACCTCTCTTATGCTTTTTAGAACCTTGTAACTTGAATTGTTGTTTATTTTTGTATAGTACCTTCTCTGTTCAGTCAGTCAGCTCTTTAACAGCAGCTTCAGCTTGTTCATCTCCCCCCTGTCCACACTGCACTGCCGTAGTAGGCACTCAGAGTGAGTGTTTAGGTGCAGCTTTCCTTTTGGCAGATCTGATCCCAGCTGTGGGAAGCATTCCTTTTTTTTTTGTTGTTTTAAACCATTCAACATTGTCTTCATGCCCACAGGAAATCCTAGGTAACTGTTGTGATTAATTTTTAGATGACAAAAAGGAACTTGGAGCAGCCAGAAGAAGTCAGTATTACATGAAATATGGGAATCCAAATTATGGAGGCATGAAAGGAATTCTTAGCAACTCTTGGTGAGTCCAAAACCTTAAAATGTAATAAAGAGTATTTAAACTTTCCTTTATTCCTTTAGTTGGTATTCTGCATTGAGATTTCAAAACCATTTGCAGACTTGAAGGAAGACAAGAGGAAAGAATTCGGGACACTTAAGTGTGGTAAATTGTGTGGCAATTCTGAGTTTCAGCTTCACTTAGAATATCTCTCAGTACATAACATTGTGTTGGTGTGTAGTTGAAATGAATTAGTGGATTTCAGGGTCCTTCCTGCTGGTTTTTGATTATGTGCTTATTTTGGCAATGTTGCAGGAAGCGAAGATATCATTCCCGTCGCATTCAGCGGGATGTGATCAAGAAGAGAGCCCTGATTGGGGATGACGTTGGCTTGACATCCTATAAACACCGACATTCCGGTAGTTGCCTGCTCAGCTCTTGGGTAGACACATGTTTGGCTCCTGAAATCATATTTTTATTCTTAATACAGTCTTTTAAGGTTCCAAACTTTATCATCCTATCTTCCTTGCCCTCACCCTCTGCCAACATATAGGAAAGTAAGTCAAGTCACGATTAATTTTAAATTGCCCATACAAAGACGTCAAATGATTTTATAAAAGCTGTTCTAACAAAAAAGGCCAAATGTGACATGATGGAAAATTAAAATAAAATTTTCTTAGGAGCCTAATTTTTCTACTATTTATATTAAAAGCTGCATGAAAAAATTATCTTTTTAAGTTATCAGATGAGCTGATGTTAGTATTTCTTTGTGTGGTAATGAAAATAGGGCTGCTGTGTCTAGTGTTTGACGCTTACTGGCTCGTGCATATGAATTCCACAGAAAGGTGGGATATCATGCATGGCCTGGGTTTTGTTTTCTTTCTTGCCTTTTCTTTCTTTCTCTTGATACGCTTATTGTAAAAGGACCATTATGTTTTATAAAGATTTGGGTTCTTATTTTGAACCTAATCTATGGAATCTTCTATGGTGTTTTGTAGAACTATCCACATCAGCATACAAACATAGAATAACATATACACACATTTATCATTGTAATGGGGACAAGGAGAGGTGGTGTCTATAAATTTTTATATAATGCATATAATATCCAAAATTATATATTTGAGATCTATAGCTTAGTAATATTAGATACTATGTAGTTTAAAATCAGGAAAGTTGTGTGTCAGGGTTGTATCCTTTCACCATATTTAGTCAGTCTGTATGCTGAGCGAATAATCTGAGAAGCTGGACCATATGAAAAAGAACAGGGCATCAGGGTTGGAGGAAGACTAACAACCTTCGATATGCACATGACACAACCTTGCTTGCTGAAAAGTGAAGAGGACTTGAAGCACTTACTGATGAAGATCAAAGACTACAGCCTTCAGTATAGATTACACCTCATCATAAAGAAAACAAAAATCCTCCAACTGGACCAATAAGCAGCATCATGATAAATGGGGAAAATATTGAAGTTGTCAAGGATTTCATTTTACTTGGATCCACAGTCAATGCCCATGGAAGCAGCAGTCAAGAAATCAAACAATGTATTGCATCGGGCAGATCTGCAAAAGACCTCTTTAAAATGTTAAAAAGAAAAAAAAAAGTTAAAAACCAAAGATGCCATTTTAAGGGCCCAAGCCGTGGTATTTTCAGTCTCCTCATATGCATGTGAAAGCCGGACAATGAATAAGGAAAACCGAAGAAGAATGGATGCCTTTGAATTATAGTGTTGACAAAGAATATTGACTATACCGTGGACTGCCACAAGAGTAAACAAATCTGTCTTGAAGAAGTACAGCCAGAATGCTCCTTAGAAGTGAGGTTGGCAAGACTTTGTCTCGCTTACATCGGACATGTTATCAGGAGGGACCAATCTGGAGAAGCACATAATGTTTGGTAAAGTAGAGGGTCAGTGTAAAAGAGGAAGACCCCCAACGAGATGGATTGACACAGTGGCTGCATCAGTGGGCTCAAACATAGCAACGATTGCGAGCATGGCGCAGGACTGGGCAACATTTGTTCTGCTATATATAAAGTCACTATGATTCAGAATTGACTCGATGGCACCTAACAACAACAATATTAATAATGCACTTACTTTTCTGTTACACTTTTCCGACTTCAATTACTATATTTTCAGCATATAATCTTTATATTCATGTTAAAGAAATTAAGAAACAAATTGTCCCTAATTCTTGCACCTTAATATAACAACTGATTTTATTTTACATTTTTCCCATTTGTCTATTTTTATACTAAGTATTATAATCGTTGTGAACATATACTTTTATATTGTTTCTTCCACTTATGTAAGCATTTTTCTATGAACTAATTTAAAGTTATTTTAAATGAATTTATCTTCTATTAGACTGCTAGATCACACTTTACCTAGCCATTCTCCTGTTGTCAAGTATCAGAATTGTATAGAGATTGACAGTATTGTAGATCCTGCTCCAGTTAAATCTCAGGCACAGTAACAACATCTTTTAGAAAGGTTACCAACTTAGACTTGAAAGTCATACTTGTTGGTCTTAGTGTTTTTCCTAATGGATTTCGGTTAAATTTCTTCAGGACTAGTGAACGTTCCTGAGGAACCCATTGAAGAAGAGGAAGAGGAGGAGGAGGAGGAGGAGGACCAGGACATGGATGCAGATGACAGGGTGGTGGTAGAGTATCACGAGGAGCTTCCAGCTGTTAAGCCGGCCCGGGAGCGCAGTGCATCTAGGCGATCCAGTGCCAGCAGCTCAGACTCCGATGAGATGGACTATGATCTAGAACTGAAAATGATATCCACTCCTTCACCAAAGAAAAGCATGAAAATGACAATGTATGCTGATGAAGTGGAATCTCAGTTGAAAAATATTAGGTAAAAATATTTTCCTTTTTATCAATGCTAGCTTTTAATTTGATTTGAAATACTAATTATTATTTCCTCCTCATTCCTTTCAACTTTATAATCACTTTTATCTATTCTAATTTAGTCCTTTTAGGAGTTGAATAAAAGCATCCAATTTTTCCTCTAAATTTACAAGCAGTGCATCCTTATTATAAAAACTACAGACGATATGGAAAGTGAAAATCACCTGTAATCCCATCTGCCCCTGGAGATAACAGCTGTTAGCAGTTGGATGAATAACCTTCCAGCTATTTTTATGCATATAGATAACACATGGGGGAATTATAGATATATCTGTACAAAATGAGATTGTGCTATTTATATTGTTTTTCAGTGTGCTTTTTCCATTTAAAATGTTGTGAATGTTATTTTTTCTATGGTATTGTAGTCCATTGTTTGAAAGTACCATGATTTAGTTAACCAATCCCTTATTGATGGATATTGAGGTTTCTAATGTCTTACTATCACACTGTGGAAATCCAGCTATTGCACAAAAGAATATACATGTTTAGAAATGTGGTGAGCATTGCTAAATTTCCTTCCAGAAGAGTTTTATTTGCATTACTACCTATTACCTACCTATTCACCAACCTTAGATACTGTCACTCTTTCTAATTTTTGCTAATTTCACAGACAAAAATAATAATTATTTTTAATGTGCATTTCTTTGATTACTAGTGAGGATAAGCAGATTCCATGAGGGCAGATAGTATATCCACAACTCAAAGGATTGGAGTCCAGGGATGCTCTTTCTGAGATGTTCTTGATGTGTTTGGGGAGAAGGAAAAAAAAAAAACCCTCAAGCTGGTTTATTTCTCTGGCCTTATTCATGTCCTTATATTTAGTTTTCTGAGAGCTTTCTGGCAGAGAATGCTGCCAGAACAATGCTGATATCAAGCATAATAGCAGATCTCTTTGATGAGAAGTCTAGCTTTTAAAGAAGGGGATTGCAGATTCTGTTGTGTCTTGGCTGCAGCCTGGGTGAGCAGAGAGCCACCCAGCAAAGTAGGCTCTTTGCAGGCCTCTCCTTAACGTTTGCCCCTGAAGATGGGGACTGGCAGCTACTGGCTCTGTGATAACTTGTACAAACCTTCTTGGCAAACTCAGTAAGCTACTTGCCCTGAGCAGACTCTTTACAACAGATTGATCGTGATTTTTTGTAAGCAAATAATTATCAATGTATGGTTTATTGTAAGTGAATGTTGGCTGTATTAGATGGGTTTCTTAAATTATTTTCTCGAAAGTATACGAGATTGTTGCTTAGGCCTGGCCCCACAGTTGAAGTTGGTTAACTGTGCCCTTTTTTTGTTTGTTTGTTTTGAAGGAACTCCATGAGGGCAGATAGTATATCCACCAGCAACATAAAAAACCGAATTGGTAATAAATTACCGTCTGAGAAATTTGCAGATGTGCGACATCTGTTAGATGAAAAACGTCAGCACACACATCCAAGGCCACCAGTCAGCAATACTAAGTCAGGTATTGTTCTTTGGTTGTGGTTCTGGGCTTCTTGAGCATCAGAAAGCAAATTAAGGTGGGCAGGGCACAGATTTCTGGGTTAAAAAGTTGCCATTTTTGTGGACTAATTTAGTTATCTTTGTTCATCACTTCTAAATTTTGTGCTAAACACTGGAATTTCAGGACATGAAAAGTAGTAAGACTTGCAGTATTACCTTTGAACATTTTTCTTCCAAACAACTGTTTTATTCTGTATATCATTGGTATGCTTTATACCCAAGAATAATAGAAATTACATTGGGTTGTATAAGTGGTTAAAAGTTGGAACTAGATATAGTTACTTTATAGGTGCAAACACTCACACAGTATGTATCCGACCACACCTGCTGTGTGCCAGGCCCTGGACTAAGTTCTGGGACTGTTAGAAGTCTTTGGAGGGAATGTAGAGCCGTCACAGAACTCAGATGGAGAAACGTAAGTTTCAGATAACTCCACCCCAAAAGCAGAATGAAATAAGTGCTCTAATAGGTTGGTAAGCAGTGGGCTGTAGGAGCCAAGAAGGGTCGTAGACCTTCTGGGGGGATCGTGGAAGGCTTCTTAGAGAAAGTGGCTTTAGAGCTTGGCCTTGGAGAGGGAGTAGGATCTCATTTGGCAAACCTAGTTTTAGAAGTGGGAAGTAACCTGCCCTTTTATCTATTTTAGAAAGATAACTTGGGGCTGGGGTGGAGAGTAAGTAATGAGGGCCTGAACTAGGTCAGGGCAGTGGCAGCAGAATGGATAAAAACATGCTTTAAGAAGGAGAAGTCAGTACTGGGAAGTGGCAGGGGAAGAGTCAGAGAGAAGCCAGAGGGCTCAGGCATGGCTAACTGGAAGGATGGGGATGCCGTTCTCTGAGAGATGACTGAACGCCCCAGTGCAGTGCCTTGCTATTGAATGTATTTTTGCTCCTGTACTTGTTTTAGGGAATTCAAGAGGAATAGAGGAATAGAGGAAAAATGTAATTGGCTCGGGACATCTTACCTTGATCCTTTACTTTTTGCCAGTCATTACATTTACTGCTTAATGGTAGTAAGTTTATTGAAAACTTGTATGTTCAAAGATGGTGGCTTCTGTCCTCAGAGAGCTTGCAGTATTGTTAGCTGAAATTCTTGTACATTATTTGGTCTCCTTGGTTCTATTAAAAAGAAAAAAAAAAAAAAAAAGAGTTGATTCTGCCTCAGAAATTCCTTTCTGGAGCAATTAGCTGAGGTGTTTCTTCCTCTGACAGCCCTTACATATGAATTTCCCTAGCGGAGTCCAGAGTGATGATGACGAGAGGTGTTTAGAAACCTGACTGTTGGGGCCGACATCCTCCCTCAGGCAGATTGATACCACGTCAGTTAGAATAACACATGCTTGGTTACAGTCATACTGTATTTTTGTTTCTTTTTTCCAGATATACGCCAGCGCTTAGGAAAGAGACCATATTCTCCAGAAAAGGCTTTTAGTAGTAACCCAGTCATTCGGAGAGAGCCTTTTTCTGATGTACATAGTAGGCTAGGTATTCCCAGGCAAGATATTAAAGGCCTCTACTCTGATACTCGGGAAAAGAAATCAGGTTGGTAACACTTAACACTGATGGGGATGGGAATTCTAAGAGCAGACGATAATGGGTATAGCATAGAAATACTTTCTTAGCAGTAGACAGGAAATAGCATGTGCCAAAAATAAATTTTTTCTGTTCCATTATAATTATTGTCATAATAACTAACGGTAGCAGTGTGGACAGTTTAGAAGTAGGGGGGAAAAGCACCTTTGGTTTTTTCTGTTCAGTGCAAATGTTTTTTATTTTCATGTGTTCTATTACAATCTTTGTCCATATACGTATCCTGCTTTTTTCATATAGCATTTTATCATAATTGTTTTCTCATATTGTTATATTCTTCATAAATAAAACTTCTAATTGCCTTACAGCATGGATAATACCATATACTTCTAAACACTTATTTTCCTCTTGTTAGATATTAATAAAATATATTTTTAAGATTAGTGGATGGTGGGCAAAATCTCTGAAAGTCTGCACTGTAGCAGGCCCATCGGTTTGTAGAATATTGGAGCTGTAAAGGATCTGGGAACAGCGCACTCCTGGCAGGATAAAGCGGCACACAGGGTGCTGAGTCTCACCAGGGAAGGTCATGTGTAGCATGAAACAGCTTCCCAGGTGATTCTGATGTGCCTCGTGTGGGGGCACATGTCCCCTGGCTGGGGGGGCTCACCATGGGGTCCAGACCCCTCAGTTTACAGGCAGGGGACTGCAGCTAGGGAAAGGAGATTATCTGCCAGGGCTGCATAGTGGCTGGAAGTGCCCCAGACCCGGTGTCTCCTGCACATCAGGTGTTGGCAGTGCCCTGCTTCCTCAGCACTGCCACTTCTCAGCATCAACTCTGCCAAAACTGAGATGCCTTTTCACCCCAACAGGTAGTTTATGGACTCGCTTAGGATCCGCACCCAAGACCAAAGAAAAGAACACGAAGAAAGTGGAGCACAGGGCGCCCGCCACTGAGGAAGACGACTCCGAGCTGCAGAGGGCATGGGGGGCTCTGATTAAGGAGAAAGAACAGTCTCGCCAAAAGAAGAGCCGGTTAGATAACTTACCATCTCTCCAGATTGAAGTTAGTCGGGAAAGCAGCTCTGGTTCAGAGGCAGAGTCCTGATGCCCTTGGGCCGGATGGCAGCAGCCCTAAAGCCTGACATTCTGGCACAGGGTCAGGCGCATAGTAGGAGCCTCCCCCTGTAGGAGTTGGTGCCCCTTCCACTTTTACTCGTACAGCCACCCTTAGCTCTTGCTACTTCAGCAAGACATCTTAACAATGTGATGTGTTTTGAAGGGCATCTATCTTATCTATCTTCTGCTGCAGAGTAATAGTTCTGGGCCCTCAATTCTCTTCCCACCACCCTACAAGCTTTACCCTTTGAGAAAAAGGCAGCCCTCCAGATTTTGTAGATGTTTTTCTTAATATTTTTAACATTGTGTCTTTTAAAAGAAATGTTTTACATAGTTCATCCAAAGAGCAGAGAACTGAACTTCTCACTATTGCCTTGGCCCTGACAGCTGTTACCAGCACCCTTTTCCCAAGAAAAGTCAATTCCCAGGTGCTTATTGGACAGCCTTCGAGGGGGAAGATGAGGGAAGCTGCCAGCTCACCCTTCCAGGACCCTAGTGTGGGGGCCGAATCCCATGGACCTGACCTCAGAGGTGCACCAGTGCCGCCCAGGTAGATAAGAGACACAGCATTGATCGTGCTTCCCGTTCAGCCCTTGGGGATTACTGTTAGCGGCCTCTTACTAGCCATCTGCTTGAAGTGAAAATCAAGTTCAGTGCTGTGGGGTTTTTAGGAACAAAAAACTGTGACTTCTGGATTTGGGGTTGATTTTTGTGCTGGGGCGGGGTCATGGGTTAACGTCGAACAATTTTTAAGTCTGTATTATGTTTAAAAATATTAATGATTTAAAAGTTTAAATTTTTAATTTTTATATGTGAAAATTCTTCCTGTTGGCTACAGGGGAAACTCAAGTGGTGTCTTCTTATGTGCTGTTAAATATATATTATATACTTTGGAAGAAGGCAAAAGGAGGAGTCTCATTATTTTTTAAATGATCCTAATTGTATAGTCTGTTGTACGTAGTATTCAGCTTGCTTTTCCGCCATTGTAGGAAACAAAATCCATCCATCTGAGGTGGGGTCATGTTGTTTATTATCACTTCAGAAGTGATAACTGATATTTATTCTTTCTGCCTTCAAGTTCTGGCACTTGAAGACTTCTTCAAAACTGACAAATAATAGTGACAGAAATTTTAGTTCCTTTATTTGTAAACTCCTGTCAGGTTATTTTCCCATGAAAAGGCAGTAGATTATTTTGTCTTCCTGTCTACTCTTCATTTTGAAGTGTTTAACTTTTATATTCCTCCACAGGCTTAAAAATGGTGTTTTACTCCGGTTCCCTAGAACTTGGGAATTAGAGATAGTGAGCCACTGCCCCCTTTGTGGTGTCACAGGTCATCACCTGCCTGAGGTGTGGAGGCACCTGATGTAACCCGGATTCTAGAGGCTTCACGTGTGGCTGACCTGATGGTCACACTGATAGTTGATTACACTGTGGTGTGATTGAATGCAGAACGCTGTTGTTAATAAAGGACTGTGAGACTTGAGAGCTGCAGCACAAACTGTATTGTACCATGTTTTGTTGGTTAACACGCTTTTTTCTTCCTTTTAGAAACATAAGATGTACCATGGTATGTTGCATCTTCCTAATAGGATCCTAGGACAGAGAGATGGTTCTGGCTTCTCTGCCAGTCGAGACCTAAGGTTTCTGAGGTTTCCGAGCTCTTCTTGCCTTGTGAAGCACACAGTTGAGAGACAGGTTCTTGAGGAGTCAGGGCCTGGGGAGTTGGTACAGTGAGAAGTGCAAGGGCCTGAAGGAGACCTGGAGGCCAACCCCTGGCTCTACTCCATAAGCCTTGGGCTCAGTTTCCCCATCTGTCAGATGAATGGGCCAATACCAGAGCTCATGGCTCTGCTGGTATGTCTCGTTGGCATTTCACTCTGCCTAAAGCTGGGGCTGCAGTATGCTGGTGAGCACTAGTTTCTGTTGCAGGTCGGGGAGGAGGGAAGGAGGCAATTGAGGGGAGTGTGTGAGGTTGTGGACGTGGACTTATTCCTGTCCCATTACAGTCTCTGGGTTTACTAATGGGACAAAAATGTCCTTTGGTCAGGGTCCCCACTAGACAAGTCTCTGCAGCATTTAGAAAATGCCCCTTCTTAGACTTTCCTTTTTGTTTCCCAGTCATGACCCTTTCCCACCAGTAACCCAGGCCTATTTGCCCCATGGCCTTTCAGCCCTCACCAGTCTCCTGCTAGAGATCAGGGAAGACTTCCTGGAAGAGGGGTGGTGTACAGTCAAAACTGGATCCTTGATCTAACCAAGAAAAATGCCAACTTCAGCAGCCTTGCAATTCTCCTCACAAACACGGAGAAAATTCGGGAGATTATCTGTCAAGATTTTAAGCGTGTTTCCCAAAGTTGTTGTTGTTATTATTAGCCCCTCCTGCTCCAGCCCACACTCAGGCAGTTGGCTCTTCCAGCATGTTGAACATGTCCTGCATCCCTGCACCCTGGCTTTGGAGTTCAGGAGTGAGGATGGACAAACTAGTCTCCTGGTGGCAACTCAACAAGCTGCTTGTATCCTGTGTGCGCCCCTGCACGTGGGCAGCAGGTTTACACACTTTCTGTGCTCCTCTGAGTCCTTATATATGTGGGAGGTTTTTTTTTTTATTTTATTTTATTGTATTTCAGGTGAAGGCTTACAGAACAAATAGTTTCTCATGAAACAGTAGTACACATGTTTTATGACATTGGTTAACAACCCCACAACATATTAACCCTCTAAATTCTCAACCTTTTTTTTTTTTTTTTTTTGGTGAAAATACACATAGCCAAAGATACACTGTTTCAAAAATTTCTACATACACAGTTCAGTGACATTGACTACGCTCTTCCAATTGTGCTGTTATTCTCACTTAAGATGAAGGCTTACAGAACAAAATAGTTTCTCATTTAACAGTTACTACAAATGTTGCCCTATGACAATGGTTAACAATCTCACAACACATCAACAATATCCTTACTCAACCTTGTGTTCCCTATCACCAGCTTCCTTGTCCCCTTCTGCCTTCTTGCCCTTGTCACTGGACTCCTGTACCTCGTTAGTCTCATTTGGTTTTACGGGGCTGTCCGCTCCCAGGCTGAACCGTGAACCTCGGAGGTAACTTCACCACTGAGCTAAAAGGGTGTCTGGGGGCCATACTCTCGAGGTTTCTCCAGTCTCCTTTAGGCCAGTAAATCTGGTCTTTTTTGTGAGTTAGAATTATGCTCTACATCCTTCTCCAGCTCTGTCCGGAACCCTCTGTTGTGATCCTGGTCAGAGCAGTCAGTGGTGGTAGCCGGGCACCATCTAGCTGTACTGGACTCAGTCCGGTGGAGGCCTTGGTAGCTGTGGACAATTAGTTCTTTGGACTAATCTTTTCCTTGTATCCTGTTTTCTTCATTTTCCCTTGCTCCCGAAGGGATGAGACCAGTGGAGTATCTTAGATGGCCGCTCATAGGCTTTTAAGACCCCAGACACTACTCACCAACGTAGAATGTAGAGCATTGTCTTTATAAGCTGTGTCATGCCAATTGAGCTAGATGTTCCCCGAGACCACGGTCCTATATGTGGGACGTTTTAAGTACGTTTTTGCTGCTTGATAATAATTGCAGATACCTCATTGCTCTTTCTCCGTCTCCCTCTGGGAGAGATACTGGGTACTCAGAAGCACTTGTGGAGACCACTGCAGGTGTACACTCTCCTCTGCTAGCCCTTCTCACCAGTCTCTCCCCCTAGTCCAACCTCTGTCTTCTCCTGCTCTGTTCGTTTGGCAGCCTTTTCACTGGTCTCTCTGTACCCATCTCTCCCTTCTACTCCATTCTGTACACTGTAGCCAGGATCAACTTTTTTTCTAAATTTAAATAGCTTTATTCAGATATGATTCTCATACCGTACAATTTTCCGATTTAAAGTGTACAGTTCAGTGGCTTTTAGTATATTCACAGAGTTGTGCAACCCTCATCAGAATCAATTTTACAACGTTTTTGTCTCCCCAAAAAGAAACTCATACTACTTAGCCGGCTACCTCCCCTCCGCCCCCCAGTCCTAAGCTACCACCAGTCTATTTTCTGTCTGTATTGATTTGCCTGTTCTGTACATTTCATATGAATGGAATCATACAATCTGTGGCCTCTTGTGTCTGGCTTATTTCACTTAATAGAATGTTTGCAAGGTTCATCCATGTTGTAGCATGTTATCAGTGCTTCATGCCTTTTTATGGCCAAATAATATTCTGTTGTGTGGATATACCACGTTTTGTTTATCTAGTCATCAGTTGATGGACGTTTGGGTTGTTTTCAGTTCTTAGCTATTATGAATAATGCTACTGTGAACAATCATGTACAAGTTGTTGTGTGGACATGTTTTCCTTTCTCTTTGGAATATAACTCATAATGGAATTGCTGGGTCATATGGTAATTCTATGTTTAACCTTTTGAGGAACTGCTAGACTGTTGTCCATTGTGGCCGCACCATTTTGCATTCCCACCAGCAGTGTATGAGGGTTCCAGTTGCTCCACATCCTTGCCAATACTTGTTATTGTCTGTCTTTTTTGTTATAGCCATCCTAGTGGATGTAAGCTGGTATTTCATGGTTTTGATTTGCATTTTCCTGATGGCTGATGATGTTGAGCATCTTTTCATATGCTTCAAGATGAGCTTTCTTAAATGGAAATCTAAGCCTGTGTATGCTTGTGCTTAAAACCCTTCCAAAGCATCGCCATTGCTCTTAGGATAAATTCTGAACTCCTTTGATAGCTCACAAGCTGGCCAGGATCTAGCCTTTGGCAGCGTCTCTGGCGTGTTTTTCCCTAGCCCTCTCTGCCCTCTGCTCACTAGTTCCCTGGCTGCATCTCGATCTCACCAGCCTTCCAGGCTGCACGGAGCTGTTCCTCCCCCAGTGACACACACCACTTGTCCCTTTCTCCTTTCCGCCTCAGGCTTGCCTTTTTCCTCCCATCATCCTCAAGGTCTTAGGGGCTTAGCCAGGAGGCTCTCCCCACCTTCCAGAGCCAGGTCTTGGGCCCCTGCTGTGTGCCCTAGGGTACTGCTAAAAAGTGGCCTCAGTTATGCAGTCAGCGCTTAAGATAAACATTGCATGTAGTCAAGATTCCTCTTGGAAATCCTGAGGAAGGTGCCATGTTGAAGACCACATCTCGTGGCCTGGTGGGAACAGGTTACTGTTCCTTTGGATGAGCACCAGGGGAAGTGGTTGGCCTGCATATAGGGCCGTGCTGGGGGAAGGGAGGGAGGAAACACTTATTTTTCAAGCTTTAGAATCACTCAGGTGAGTAGCTCACTTTTTAGAGATTGGTGGGAACCGAGGCCATGGGAGCAGCAGGCCTTCCTGCCTGTCTGTGCTTGTTGAGTGGAGGGGAAGGTAGAACGATGGCCCAAAAGAATTTTTATTTTTATTTTTTTAATGTTGTCGGACAAATGCAGTTGTGTTTGCGTCAGTGAAATGTGGATGATATGAAATCACTACACCCCACCAACCCAGGATCTACACACTGGATTATAAGTCCCTGTTGCCTAGTTTGTCTCTTGCGAGATTGTAAGCTCCATGAGAGCAAGGACTGTGTCTGGCTGTTCACAGTGGTTTCCCCTGTGTCTAGTCCCCTGCCTGGTATCAGCAGGTCCTTCATAAATGTGAACGTGAACGTGTAAATTCTCCAGCTGTGGGAACAGTTTCATCCTCTTACGTGCTTGTTGCGTGCCATCGAATGAATTGTGACTTATAGCGACCCTATATGACAGAGTAGACTGCCCCATAGAGTTTTCTAGGATGAAATCTTTACAGGAGCGGCTCGCCAGGTCTTTTTTCTTGTAGAGTGGCTGTTGGGTTCAAAGCCCCAACTTTTCAGTTAGCAGCTGAGTGCTTAAGCATTGTGCCACCAGTGCTCCATCTTACATGCTAGCCTCGCTTCTCTGCCTTGTACATACAACATTTTTTTCGTGTTTTATTTTCCCTTCTAGCGTGTGAGCTCCTGATGAGCAGGTGCCTTGATGTTATCTCTCTGTCCTTCTACCAGGCCAGCCCAGAGTAAGTAGTGCTTCCTAAGTGTTGGGTCAACAAACGAATTGTGGTCAACACCCCAGCTCTGGCAACACTGTCTGCAGGCTACTTTACTTCTGGATGAGACCACCAGATTTGTAAAGGGGAGATAAGTCAGAAGTGCTTAAACTGCTTGTATAAGAAAAATCTCATTAGTTAGGCCACAGTAAGCTTCACATTTTGATGTTCTAGCCGTCTCTGAGGTAAAGGTTACCCAGCTGTATAAAGAATTTGCTTGGCATCATGTAGATATTTGTTAGAAAAGCATTCATCTGCCCCAGGAAGGGATTCCTGGAAGGAAGCCAGCAAGTAGGTGAGAGATCCCAAAGAGGGACCACTGAGCCAGCTCTTAGGCTCTGGTGCTGTTGGTGAGGAAAGCAACAGCTGTCCCGAGAAGGCAAACTGAACCAGAACTCCTCCCCAGCAGCAGCTCGTCTGTCTAAAGCAGCCGTCCTCAGACTTCTCACACAGAGCGTTTTTTAGTTACGGTGAAACGCTAACAGACACTTTGGATTAAAGTCAGCAGCAGAACTTGGCTTCACAGATTCATTAGTTGCTGCATAAGTAGGTTTAATTCCTAAATATTTGCTTGTAAAACCCTATGTAACAAGAGGTAAGTGAGACGTTAAACAATCTTTCTTTTTTAAGAACTAACAGGACAATGCTTTGATAATATTGAGAACAGCACACTTTCTTCAAGGCAGATTGTTGTTGCATAACTTGACCAACAATCATCTAGAACTTTTTAAATATGTTTATAAAATAAATTTTAGAAGGAAAAATACTGCAGCATTTTTTTTTTTTTTTAATGAAACTATATGTACGTTTCACAGAACTTTGATATTCCTGGGAGCAATTAGGTAAATACTGGCTCAGAGGCCTATTTTAAATAGTTTTGAGTCTTCGCTTTGTCTGCTGCCCCAGAAGCAAGTAGGCCGTGCCAGTAACCAGGTGCTTCTGTGCCACGGTGTCTCTGGTTATCACAGCAGCTTTTCAAGCTCCTTTTGTAGAGGAGGACATGGACTTTGAGGACCTTGTCCACTTAGCCCGGTCTCAGGGTGGCACTCAGGCCCACCCTTCCCAATCCAGGACTCTTCCCCTCTACCACACTCAATCTTGTTTCTTAGGCCTGCCGTTTCCATCCACATGGCCTTCTTGAAAGTGGGATTTTGCTGTATCTAAATAAAACTCTAGGGTATGGGTGGTATTTACCTACCAAAGAGAATGGCCTCCCCCAGTGTTCGTATCTGTTTGTTTGAGCAATTTCAGAGGCTCTCTCTGGATGACCAAATTCTTAAATAGTTGAAACTTTGTGTTACTTCAGATTGTCTGGCCCTGTGCCACCTCA